TGAACTTCTGACCTCAGGTGATCTGCCTTCCTCAGCCTCCCAAAGTACTGGGATTGATTACAGGCATGAGCGACCATGCCTGGCCTCAATTAATATATTAATACAGTAAGTCTAATTTTATCTTTAAAGTGAATTTGATTCTTAATGATTTACATGAAGGGAGATGACATAAAGGGAAAGAAACCAAGATAAAGTTTATAAAACAGAACAAAGGCTGCAGAGGAATGACTTCTTTTCCTCTACTGTCATTTATTGTATATGGCAGAAAGGTATCAAAAGCACAATTTTAAACTATTCTGTGGGTAATTTCATGAAGTGTTCTTTTAAAAATACAATAATATTTAATAAAGTTAGAAATAAAAGATTTCATACTCAATCTTCACAGTGCTTGGAGGGAAAATAAATAAATAAAATAAAAAATACGGCCAGGCATGGTAGCTCATGCCTATAATCCCAGCACTTTGGCAGGCCAAGGCGGGAGGATCACTTGAGGTCAGGAGTTCGAGATCAGCCTGGACAACATGGCAAAATCTTGTCTCTACTAAAAATACAAAAATTAGCCAGCATGGTGGCAGGTGCCTGTAAATTCCAGCTATTCGGGAAGCTGAGGTGGGGGACTTGCTTGAACCCAAGAGGCGGAGGTTGCGGTGAGCTGAGATCGTGCCACTGCACTCCAGCCTGGGTGACAGAGAGAGACTCTGTCTCAAATAAATAAATAAATAAATAAAATAAGTAAAATAAAAAATAAATAAAAGATTTAAGCATCATAGCATACCATTGGTGCCTTGTCAACCATCAATTCATGCCATCTTTTGTAGGGTGGTAAATCAAGATTTATGGTGTACCATGGAGCTGGACCTCTGTACCTGTAATGAGAGGTGTATCATCTTGAAACGATGAAAGGGTTTTTTGAGAGGGTTAGATAACATCTATAAGGATATATGAGAGGCATAGTCTTAACGACAGTGTCCAATTTGATTACCCAAACCAAAATTTGGAAAGACAGTTCATTCTCTACCTAGTGCTTCTAGGTTGAGCACACAATCATAAGTGGTCACAGAAATCTTGGAATAGAATGATCTAGTAGGGAAGGTTCATGTGAATTGGTTTTCTATGAAAAAATCAACTATGGCTTAAGAGCTCTAACCTAATTATCACTGATGGGAAATACCTCCCATTTTTTTTCTCCTAAATATCTGCAAAGATTTAGTCTAGGCTCTGGACAATTCTCCAATTGATTTCCAGTTTCAGAATTCTCTCAGTGAGTGTAACACCATTGCCAAACCATTGTCTCCAGTGTTGGCTTCAGGAAGATCATCACCTTCTAAGCCCCAGAGTAGCAACATGTATTATCTTCCCATGACCAGCTTCAAGAACCTTCATGATTCTGTCAGCCATCCTCATCTTCCCTATTATATACCTCTTCTCTTCTCATTTTTCTGTACAAAGTCCAAGCCCGAGCCATATTCTGTCATATCCTTTCTCCAGCTTCCTACTCTTTAACTTACGAGTAGCAATTTCTGAGGATATAGCAACATCCACTCACTTATCAAGGGAGCTGGGCTGTATCTCTGGTGGATGAATTCTATAACTATTTTTGTTGCTATAGGAATATTATTTACCGGCCCTTGTTACTAAACTGAAATAGCTTTTAAGGGTGTGCCATTTCGTGGTTTATCAGTATAAACCTATGCCTAAAAATAACCATCATCTGTTCCACTGATCTGCTCCTGAGACGGGTAGGGTGACTCTGGTATGTGCCACAATGACACCAGTCACCTAAATAGAAATGTTATCTAGATTTACGTCCATAGTTGGAGATGGGCTATTACCTAAGTCATGAACTGTGGTTCTATTTATATTTCCACTGCCATAAATAATTACTTTGTTCTCTAAACAATGCTGTGTAACTGGGGGCCCTGGTACATGTATGAGGTTTTACGAAACTGTTAACTAGCAGACACCCAGGTTGTGATTTAGACAAAAGAAAAGCATACTCAATTTTGGAAACGTACATTTAAACAAAATCACAGTGAATGAATTTTCTTCTTCTCAAAGCATTTTCAAGTTCCCCATTGTCTAGGAGCTGATATCTACATGAAATACTACAATACTTATATTCCAGAAAAAAAGCTTTTCATCATGACAAATTAATTCCATTTTGGATGGACCATAATTTTGCATGTAAAATTTTGTCCCACATTCAGTAAGTAATTATTGTTCCCCATCCATATTACGGGCAGGTGTTACTAGCCTTCCCTCTCCCTTCAAGTGTGCACTTAGATTTCTATGTTTAGTAGCACAGATAACTCAGCGGCCTGTTGGAGCAATGCACGTCGTCCCTATGAACTCCAATCAGCTGCTCCTCACCGCATAACACACAACCAATCCCAAATCATGCCTCTGTATCTGCCATAAAATCCTGATCCTTTTTCAGCCGAGTCTTGGGTAGGCTCATGGATCATCCCAGAGGCGATGAAGAGGGATGAACGCAACACAACGGACAGACAATGAAGGGATTACAATGAAGTGGGGATAAGACCCCACAGACCTCTCTACCATCAAACCTGCGCTAATTAGAATTTGAGAGAACTGGTTAATCTAATAAACAAAATTATTTTAATAGCTAAAGCTTAGTCATAATCGCACATTTTACCTCTCGTTAAACAGTTTTCGAAAACATTTCAGTATTTAACTTGTGCGCCTCAAATTCCCCATAAGAATAAAAGAGTATCCACCTTATAACAGCAGTGAAGACACTACATGAAAAATGCAAAAAAAACCCCAAAACAAAACAAAAAACACTTAGCAGCACTGGCATTCAATCAACGGTAGTTATCACAGTGTATTTTCCTACTTCACTGCAAACAAGAAATATCATTTCATCATTTTCAAGACTTAGTGTTTGCAATGTCCATGCGATTTATAACATCAGTAACATCGCCTGAACCCACATGGCTACCCGGGTCGCATGGAAACTACTCCAAGTGACACAACACACACATTTACAAATAAGAAAGCAGGTGCTAGCCACCCGCTGAGCAGTGGGAAAGAAATGCTGAATGCGACTCAGATGGATTCAGGGGCGATCTGGCTATCAGTTCCTTTATCTCCAGCATTGGTTTGACTAGCCATGCTGGCCAAACAGGTTATCTTTTTCTTTCCTCATATTTGCCCATGGATGCTGCTCAAATCTATGCGCTTAATTGAAAAGGATGATCTCACAGGACAGGACGACTGTTTGTCATTCAGAGGTATATAAATACCACACTTATCTCCTAGATCTAAGATCCATTGATAAGAGTTCAGAGAGGAGAAGGATGAGAGCAAAGCTGAGGCTTTTTGTGTAGGAAAGCAGGCTGGTGTGGTAAAAAGTAACTTAGCAGAAAAATGAAGACAAGGAAAGAAACACACGTTATGTCTACGTGTACATGTGTATGTGTTCAGGGGTATATATGTATGTATATGTGTAGGTACGTATGTGCATATGGAGACACACACTCACACGCACATGGCAATAAGGAATCAGTAAAATGCCCAATCAACAAAGGTTTATGGTTTCCAATTACAGGGCATTCAATTTACAGACACATGTAAAGTGCACCTAAAAGAGAGTAGAAACGGCCTTAAACATGGAAGGCACCTCATTAAATGTTCAATGAATCGGGCCAGTGAGACCAGCTGAGACACACAATCAATTGGTAAGGCAAACATGTCACTGAAGGCCAGAAGGATGCCAGTGATGACAGAAAGGAAAGACTTTCAGAGAGCAGGCCATTGAAGAAAGAGCTGGAATGAACACGGGCCCCGAACACCATCCAAACGGGTTACCTCTAAATTACGTCCTGCCAAATACTGGCCTCTTTCTACATAAAGGCGAGTAAGTCAAAATAATTTAGCTTATTACAGTTTCACGCTATCTGGGACAGAGGCTATTTAGAATACATCCTTTAGACAACAGCAGTACAACATATATAATTTGGAATGTTGCAGAAACTGAGAACGTCATCTTGATATCACCTGACACAGTGGTACTGTTTTCCCCTACAACCAGCAGGCTACTTTCAGCGAGAGGGCAGTGTAGGAGAGTAAAATCACCATCCCCTATACTTGTTCCTTCTTTTCTCTATTCTGTAGCCTCTGGGTCTGCAAGCTGTTATTATGGCTTTCTCACAGGCCCATTTAAACACTGAGGATTTGGAAAGACCAAAATCTAGAGTAAAAATATTAATGTTAAACACAGTGAATCATGACACCGGTCCTCCTCTTAGGTGTTCCAATCCTGTTCTGTCCTCGATAGCTCTGTTGTGCCAAGCTTTATTTTGAGAACGTATCACATATGGGGTCCTACGCTTTTTTGTTCTAAAATAATTTGGTGGTTTATAATCCAGGCACCACAGAGGATCACAGGTTATTTCAAATACAGCCCTTATATTTGTCAAAGATGAGAAAAACACTTCGTGGTAGACAGAAGAATTTAGTGGAGAATGAAAATCCTTTTTTTCTTTTTTTGGAGATGGAGTCTCGCTCTGTCACCTAGGCAGGAGTGCAGTGGCGCGATCTCCGCTCACTGCAAGCTCCACCTCCCGGGTTCACGCCATTCTCCTGCCTCAGCCTCCCGAGTAGCTGGGACTACAGGCACCCGTCACCACGCCCGGATAATTTTTTTATTTTTAGTAGACACGGGGTTTCACCGTTAGCCAGGATGGTCTCGATCTCCTGACCTCGTGATCCACCCGCCTCAGCCTCCCAAAGTGCTGTGATTACACGCCTGAGCCACCACGCCTGGCTGAAAATGTTTTTCTTTCCGCTGATTGTGATAGGCTAGGAATGGGCATTTGAATCGGAAGATATTTTCATATTTGTCCAAGATCTCAGCCAAATGCATAATACACAAACCTGAGAAACAAACCTCTGTCTCAGAATGGAAAACATGACTTAAGATTTTATTCACTACCATTAGTTTATGAGCAATTATTACATAGAGGAAAAACTTCACAAAGGTCAAAGGGAGTTTTCATCATCTGATGTTTACTCACGTTGGTCCTGAAGGAGGATAGGTTGATTTTCTGCAGTCTTCTGTCCACTAAAAAGCAAAGAAAATTAAGTTTCAGAAAATAACAAATGCTTGCTAATGGAATAAGCAATTTCAAAAGTAGTTAATCTGTGAAGACAAAATCAAGTCTGATTTTGCTCTTTTACACCATTTCAATGCCTCTTTTTTTTTTGTTTGAGAGGGAGTCTCGCTCTGTTGCCCAGGCTGGAGTGCAGTGGTGCGATCTCCGCTCACTGCAAGCTCCGTCACCTCCCGGGTTCACACCATTCTCCTGCCTCAGCCTCTCTAGAAACTGGGACTACAGGCGCCCGCCACCACGCCCAGCTAATTTTTTTGTATTTTCAGTAGAGATGGGGTTTCACCGTGTTCGCCAGGATGGTCTCGATCTCCTGACCTCGTGATCCGCCCACCTCAGCCTCCCAAAGTGCTGGGATTACAGGCGTGAGCCACTGCGCCCGGCTTCAATGCCTCTTAAAAGAAGTCTTTTCCTTCCAAGAAAACTTGTAAAATCCTACACCATTAAGTGGATTTTCAGTTTCAATTCAATTTGCGAAAGTGCTAGTGTTATAATTTGGCTCTAATATTGCAAATATATTGAGTAACAAACAAATGTAACAAAGCAGATGGAAAATGTTTATGTTAGAGAGGCTGACTTAGCACTAAAAGTAAATGACCTGATAGGATGTGTTATCTGAACTTACCAGCCATGTGTATTGCAACCTGTCCTGGGATTTGCCTCCCAAACCAGATTTTCAGGGCACACAGCACAGGGCCCTTCATCATCTTTCCGTGACTTACCATCCCAGCCTCATCTCCTGACACTCCCCTTAGTATTTATGCAAGCACTTCCTATGATCTCTTACCCTTCCAAGCCTGTGCCTGTGCTATTCCCTCTTGCTAGAATGCCTTTTCCTTACTGCTGGTTCTAACTTCCAAGATTCAGTTCAAGTATTTTCTTTCTTGTGAAAACCTCATCTATCTTCCATATAAAAATAGTCATACCCTCATTTATACTCTCACAGCACTTGTACACATGCACATCACCACGTTTATGACACTGCATTATAATCATTTGTTCGTGTTCCTCATCAATACCAGACTCTGTGCTCCTTGAGGTGAGGACAGCCCCCAACACTGAGATCACTGCCTGAGACAATGAATGAACGAGACTGTTTTAGGGAGAGTTGTCCAAGCTTCGTGGCAAAATAGAATCTTCTCCTAAACTTATCCAAAAAAGTCCACACAGTTTTATGGTTCTTTTGTTACTCATTCAACGTATCAAGTGTATTTATCTCCTTTCCTCTGGAGAACTAGTACTGTGAAAGTAAAATAATTGTTTTAAAAAAGTACAAATCCAAAATAAGATAAAATAGAGTAGGTAAGAAAACTCTTGGAACTGTAGCTTGAGCTCAGAAAATGTATCTGCTGCAAAGCCGTGTAAGAATGGGGGTCTAGCATCTTGTTTTAACTTTGGTAACAAAGGGAATATATACAGTAGGTTGACATTACCTGTGATTCAAACATTAGCTGTCAAATTTGCCTTCCCACAGTATAAGTTTCTCATATATGTGTGGCTTTGTCTTATAATTTTGGCTTGAATTCATTAAGAAACAATATCAAGTCTGTAGCAAAAGCTAATTTCCAAAGCCGTTCATGTTCAACAATAGTGGCTGGGGGCAGTTCTTGTTTAGAAAAACTTCAGTCTCAACTGTGAACTCGAAGACTGCAAAACTTCATAGCTACCAAGCCATCTAATGGCTCTGTCACTAGAGACTTCAGGATATCCGGCCTCTATTTTACTGACAAAAATTCACAGAAATGATGATGGTTATATCCACAAGAGCAAATGAAGCTCATGGTTTACACTGCTGGTTCAATAACACATGTGAGATTCCAATACTTTCCATAAAGTACCTGAAAAGGAATCCTGTAATAAATAATCATAAGCTTTAAACACCTTGCATGTTCCCAAGTTTTGTGAATTTACTCAACTCAGCATTTTCTACTCACAAATATTACCATCGTCAATTTGTATATATCTTGGCAGATTCCATTTCAGGTTATACTGAATCGCTATTTTCTCAACTTCTTTGAAAACATCCTCGCCTATAGTTGTTTTACACAGATGATTCAGAGGCTAACTCTTCAGTCACTTCAAACTTGGCACTGATCATCTAATAAATATCAACAACTGATCAGTTATCGGTACGTTGAGAGTCAAGAAAAATCATTCGAAATCACATGTTTTGTTCTTCAATTGATATTGATGTTGCTCCCGAAGTCCAGGACAAGGGTTCTCATTTAATGACATGTAAAATAATTTCACTTTCCCTGGACACAATACTTCTGCTGCTACAATCGAATACAATTTACTTAACCCACCATCGGTAAATGGCTTTCCTTATTTTGCTAATAAATGAGCTACTTAGAGACTTATTTGGGTTGCAGCTTAATTTTACTTTGTAAAATTTGTAAATAAATTCTGTTGTGATGAGATACTCCACTCTGTATTTTCTCGTGTATCTGACCATTGTTTTCCTATGAGTTGGGAATACTGTGATGCGTACTTAACCCAAGTGCTTAATTTTATGATCACATTGTGGACATACGACCCTGCTCCATTAGTGACATGCAGAAAGTTACACAGCTGGTGACAGAATCAGAGTCAATGGCTTCCCCTGCTCTATCAAACAGCTTCCCACAGAGATAATAAAACCAATGCCTCAATTTAATTCCTAACAGAATAATCTGCACTTAGTTCAGGGCTTCTGATGACCACTAGAATCAACTCGGCAAATTAAGTGAAACGTAATGACTCCTATCCCTCCCTAATAATTAAATTTTGCACACCCTGGGTTCCAAAGCCAAAATAAACATCAAATTACAGGCACATTCCTTACTAGACAACTGTGAGCCAAGTTGAAAATGCTCTGTCAAGGATTAGAAGAGAATGTGACCTGCCCCAGAAGTAACAGCTAAAGAGCAAGCTAGCAACAATATATGTGGGAGTCTGAGGTTGATAACGACTCTTGGTTGCAATAAACAAACATGAAATCGGCATAGAATCTGATGGCAAGAAAACGGGATAAATGTGAGAGAAAATAAGAACATCAGCAGCTATGAGACTACAGTATTTCAGGGACTCACATAGCATGAACGCCTAAGTCATTTATGCAAAAAGGTTAGTTTTAGGGGTAGGGTGGAAAAAAGAGCTACTTCTTCACCCTCAAAAAAGAATTCTATAGGGAGACACAGCTTCAAAACCCATGAGTGGCCCTAAAACAGAATTATAATGAACTTATTTAATGTTATTTAAAGTTTCTTACTATCCCCAACTTTATACACACTTTTGATAACAGACAACGCTATTGAGGTAAGTAGAAATTTAAATAGATGATACATAAATATTAGAAACAGATGACATGAACAGAGATTATGTGGTCGGGATGGTATACTATGTTACACCCTATCACAGGAAACAAAATCCAACTTAGAATTAATTCTCTCTAACCCTCTCCCCCTAGTCCCTCTCTTTCTCTTTCCCTCTCTCTCCCTCCCCTTCCCTACCTTTCTCCCTGCCCCCTAGTTGTCTCCTCAGAGTGGAGAGAAGTGGTAAAAATCTGATGTTTCCATGCATGTGAAGCTCTCTGGGCCAGGCGCGGTGGCTCATGCCTGTAATTCCAGCACTTTGGGAGGCTGAGGTGGGTGGATCACCTGAGGTCAGGAGTTCAAGGCCAGCCTGGCCAACATGGCGAAACCTTGTCACCACTAAAAATGCAAAAATTAGCGGGGTGTGGTGGCATGTGCCTGTAATCCTAGGTACTCGGGAGGCTGAGGTAGGAGAATCCCTTGAACCCAGAAGGTGGAGGTTGCAGTGAGACAAGATAGCACCACCACACTCCAGCCTGGGTGACACAGCGAGACTCTGTCTCAAAAAAAAAAAAAAAACCCTCTGGAAAGTGTTTTTAAAAGACTGCTTGGGTCAGCAAATTCTCTAATTTTTCTGGTTATTTGATAGAAACTTAAGCCTCTTTGTCCTCCCCATTCATTAAGAGAAACTAATTACAGAGCTACTAAACGTAACGTTCTAAAAAACACAAAAATATAAAGACAATAGTATTTCATTAAGGTCTCAATGAATGCTCCAGACCCTTAAAAAATGACATAACTTGTACAGCTCCTTAAAATATTTGAGCCCTACAGAATTAGGAGACCCTCAATGAAATGTATGCGTCTAACAATGAACTTTAAAAGTCCAGAAAGCCCTTGTGTGCTTGTCTTATTCAAATACTCAGAAAGAGACAATGAAAGATAATCTAAAATTATATGCCTCGTCAGTTTTCATACCCATCAGAAGCCAAACGACTCTCGCAAGACAATTTTTCATTCAATTCTTGAATTCATCAACAACTATTTTCCAGATAAGTTTTTCCTATAATGTCCTCTTATGTACAACTCAGCAGAAACACTGAATGCGAAGAGGAAGGTTTCTTATGTGTATAACAAGTCACATGAGCTTGTCAATGTTTTCACTTGTCTTCTGGGCTTTGATGCAATGGCATCCTATTACGCTACTGATATTTAAGCCAAAGGAATGTGAATAAACCCTCCATGAGAGGAAGGACCTCATCTATCTCATTGGCGGACGCATTCCCAGCATGTAGGAGTCAGGCACATAGTAGGCAAGCAGTATTTGTTGAATAAAGTGAATGGATTACACCTGTGTGTTCCTTCTTTGGGAGAAGCAGGGAAAAGCAGATGAAGCACAATAAATTCCTTGGCCAGATGCGGTCTATGAGATTTCTGGCAACGGTGTGAAAATCATTGCTAAAGCTGATTCAATAGCCAATGTCAACAATGTTGACATATGCTGTTAACTCATATGAGAAGTTGATGCATAAAAATAAGTTTACTTTGGCAATTAATTACTAAGCCATTATGTTTCATCTCCACACATCTTAAGAAGTGGGTCAGGGCCGGGCGCGGTGGCTCAAGCCTGTAATCCCAGCACTTTGGGAGGCCAAGACGGGCGGATCACGAGGTCACGAGATCGAGACCATCCTGGCTAACACAGTGAAACTCCGTCTCCACTAAAAAAAATACAAAAAACTAGCCGGGCGTGGTGGCGGACGCCTGTAGTCCTAGCTACTCCGGAGGCTGAGGCAGGAGAATGGCGTGAACTCGGGAAGCGGAGCTTGCATTGAGCTGAGATCTGGCCACTGCACTCCAGCCTGGGTGACAGAGCAAGACTCCGTCTCAAAAAATAAATAAATAAAATAAATAAATAAATAAATAATAAAAAATAAAAATAAAAATAAAAGAAGTGGGTCAGACTTATTACTGAGAGCAGCCATCTCTCCCCTCTAGTTCCTTTCCTGCCGATCACCCTCAGCCTACTGCAAGCTATTTTCTGCCCCCAACACTGCTCTGGCCAAGGTGACCAATGACCTCCAGTTGCCTAGTATCATAATACTGTTGACATCTCAATAATATTCAACATAGTTAACCCATCCTAGTCTCTTCCCTGAACTTCCTGTCCCACTTACTCTTCTGTTTTGTTTTGCTGTGTGTGTGTGTGTGTGTGTGTGTGTGTGTGTGTGCGCGTGTGAGGAAGTTTCCCTCATTGCCCAGGCTTGGCTCACTGCAACCTCTGCCTTCCAGGTTCAAGCAATTCTCCCACCTCAGCCTCCTGAGTAGCTGGGACTACAGGCCTGAGCCACTATGCCCAGCTAATTTTTGTATTTTTAGTAGAGATGGGGTTTCCCCATGTTGGGCAGGCTAGTCTCAAACTCCTGACCTCAGGTGATCCACCCGCCTTGGCCTCCCAAAGTGCTGGGATTACAGGCATGAGCCACCGTGCCCAGCCTGCCCTGTTTTAACTTTGGCAATTTCTCCTCTTCCTGACACATACATGTGCAAGTTACTTAGCCTTTGCCTAGTTCTCTTTTCTTCTCTTTCTCTAATTCTCTTTCTAGGTGAGTTCATCTGCTCCAAGGGCTTCAAATAATATCATTATGCCAATGACTCTCAGTGTCTCTCTTCTGAAGGCCAGTACGGCCTGCTGAATGTTTCTCTGCCACCTGAAATTTAACACATACCCCAAATGAAAATGATCCCGATTCTTTAGCCCCCAAGTTTTCCCCTCCCCATGTTCCCTGGCACTGATGCCACCATTCGCCCAGTGAAGCACTTTGGTAATGTGCAGGTCACGCTGACACCTCACTCCGTCATCCTCACCCAATCCTTCCTTCTGCTCATTTGCCCTCCTGATTTTTTTCTAGAACATCTACTTCTCTCCCTCACCCCTGGTGCCACCATCCTTCAATGCACCCTGTTTCTTTTCTGGACCAGTCTCCTCACATCTACCCTTGCTGCCCTCCAATCCAGACTCATCTTTTTAAAGTGAAAATGTTATCTTGGCTAAAACCATTTAATGGCCTCCCATTGGCTGGTTCCAGATTCTCCCATTTTTTAGGATAAATTTCTGAATCCTTAGTAAGAGTCTACAGAACCCTGGATGATGTCATCTGGTGCTGTCTCTCCAGACAGTTCTTGTGCCACTGTCTTCACCATCATCTCTTAATAGGCTCCTAAAAAATTCAATAATGAAGAAAAACTCAGGAGGACCTTAACATATGAATATTGTGAAAAGTCTCAAAAACAAACAAAAAAATCCCTATAGATGTTCCAAATCAAATGACTTGTTTCCAATTTAAAGCCAGTTCTCATTATTCATATTTATCAAAAGTAGTTTTGAAATATCTTTTGCTACCGCGAGGCGATAGTTTATCATATAACGACTCCAACCAAAACACTGCTGCTGCTGCTTCTCAGAGAAAGAAGTCACGGAACTTCTCTAAGGTTCTAAAGGTCCTTTGGCCCATCGACCCCAGGATTTTCCAGGCCAGTAAAAAAAATTAATGAGGCCTTGGCACAGGAGGGTCCAAATTTTTATTCTGTCAAATGGAGATGTTAAAACAAAACAAATTCCATGCCCACAACATCTACCTCTGCCGTTAGCTGATTTTTAAGAACATGTTAGTAACAATGAAAACTGGAAGTCCATACAATCAGAATAAAGATTAACATTCTAAATTAATAATTTTAGTTTTGCATTCTTACTTTTGTAATTTCATTGAAAACAGCTTCCCAAACTGACACCAGTGGCCAGACTAGACTTTGATAATCGCTGTTCTAGGTAAGAACTATTATATCCATTGAGAGGTTGTTGATTCTTCTTCTGAAAATAGCTATCAAAATACTTTTGCTAGAATAAATAAAGCTATTGAGAAAGAAGAAAAAACAGCCTCCAACACCTGAAACTGCTCTGAGTTCCACAGCTATATCTCAATATTATTACAAGCCCATCTGACACTCACAGCCAGGTAAGCTCTGTTTTCCTCCTGGACATAAACAATCTATTCACAGATAGCTACCACGGATAAGATTATTCTGAGACGTGACAAAGAAAGACAAAGCAATGCCACTTGAGGATTTTGTCTAAGCACAGACAAAAACAAGGTGACCTGCAACGCACAAAACACCAAGCATCCCCTTCTCTTGCTAAGTAGAATGGCTGTTGCTTCCTTAGTCATAGAATTGCCCCTTTCTTTTCTTTTTTTTTTTTTTTAATTATACTTTAAGTTCTAGGATACATGTGCACAACGTGCAGGTTTGTTACATATGTATACATGTGCCATATTGGTGTGCTGCACCCATCAACTCGTTTAAGAGCATTCTATCTACAGCAAAGCCCGGTTCCTTAGTCTTACCCCAAATCATGCAACCAAAGTTCAAATTCTGTAATGGGTTTTTTTCTATAACCCACCGTCGCTCATGGTGTGTGTTCTTATTTGCCTCAAAGAACACTAAACCCAATTTGTTCAACTCATAGTGTGTTTCTGGTGGTCTTTGAATGAAGGGCCCTGACAGCAGCAAAGTATCAAACTCTTTCAAAATTCCGGTAATACCAACTACCCTCAAGCAAATTAATTCCCTACCCACGGTAGAGCAATTTTATTTTACGGCCTTTCAATCGAGTCCGCGTATATGTTCTGTGCATTTTTCTATTACAAGAAAAACTGTATATACTATTCTGGATTCTACTTTTATCTGCTAAACATTATATCAGTTTTAATGGCTAAGTCATATCCCAACATGATTTTAAAGAATTTCTCCTTACAGGTATAAGAGAAAGTACATCTTGCCTCCACTTTCAATAACCTACCTAAGCTATTCAAGACCATCTCATATTCAGCCTCAGGCCAGATGCGCCAGGTTCCTACTTATCCGGTCTGTTGGCAAAGACAAACGCAGTCTGACTGCTTTATAAAGAAATGAATTATGAAAGAGTACTAGCGTCAAGAGTACTCGGGCGTTAGGCATGTTCAGTAAACAATAGTGTAACCTCTGGCTAAAGATTTTCTCACTCTAGGTCTACTTCCTCTTCTGTAAAATAAAAGGGTCACGCTAGTCCCTCACTGTCTCTTGCAGTTAGGAAATCCGTGGCCCTGTGACTTGCTCTTGGGAAAGAGCCACGGGACAGGCGATCCCATGACTTGGGTGCAAAAGGCCGCAGGGGGCCCTCTGGGGCATGCCCTGGGCTGCTAGCACCGCCCAGGCTTGGGGCCACTCAGCGTTTCCCAGGGCCCTGCAGTATCCTGAGCTGAGCTCCTGAACTTCTTCGGAAGAAAGCACCTGGCCATCAGGCAGTCTGTCCTTGATTAACCCACACAGGTCTACCGGAACATTTTATTTAAACAGTTCAAAATGCAAGGGCCTGGAACTGGTTATTCAAGTACACTCACTCAAATTTGCGAATATGCGAATCACTTCCAGGTATCCTGCAGAGATTAGGATTTCCTTTAAAGGTGTTCTAGTTCTATCCAGGTAGCACCGAATCAACCGAGGACGGGGTTCACCAGCCCGCTTTGCACCACTATCCCTGTGCACGAAACCACAGACCCCCCAAAAAGACGCTGCCCAGCACCAGGTGTTCGTCGTCCCCGCCCGCCCCGCCACACCTGCGCCTCCATCCGCGCCCGCACCTGCACGCCCCTCTCCGCGCCTCGTCTCAAGCTCACTCACCGGCGGCGCGTGCTGCGCGACAGCACAGCTGACGGCGGCAGCCAGGAGGACTAAGGCGAGGCGACTCCGGCCCAGCATCGCTCCGGGGACCAACGCCACTCCTCGGACGCCAGCAGAGGCAAACAGAAGAGCCGCCTGGGCCGGGGGTAGGCCACGCCCCCCTCCGCCGCGTGACCCGCGACCTGGGACCGCACCATCCCAGGCAGTGGGGGAGCACTCGGAGGAGGCGGGACTGGAGGGAGAGGACGGAGCTTTTCAGTGCCGTGAAAAGGGTGGCATAGAAAGAGAGGGCGCCTTCCAGGCTGGGAAGGGAGCAGCAGAAGAAGAGTCGCGCTCGCCTCTGGCGCGTGGCCTGATCCATCGCCCTCCCCCACCGCGGGCACTGGTCGGACCGAGCCGGAGCCCCGCCCCGTGGGTGGGGCCGGGAGCATCACCCGCGCAGCTTCGCCCGGGCGCCTGCGGCAGGCGGGTGCAACCTGTCTCGGGTATTCAAGTGTCCTCGGTACCCACCAAACGGATCCAAAGAGTCTCAACACCAATATAACATCCCACCCTGACCCATCTTTGCCCTCTGAGGGAAGCGGGCCCGAAATGAGTTATTCATCCCCACCGCGGGGTCAGGGACAAGAAGCAGTTGAGTGGCCGAGGAGGAAGAGAGAAACGAATCCACTCGGGTCCTCCAGGCTGTTGGTTACCCACTTGGGCTTTCACAGCAGAGCTGCCAAATCCCAGAATTGAGGCCTCGGTGAAAAGCGCGCTTAGACTTGGGGAGGAGGCCAGGTGGGACCCACGAGCCTTATCTCCCAGCCAAACTCTGCCGTTCATTAAGCGGCTGCGTTTCCTCCTAACTGGCGAAGGACTCAGCTGGGCGGGGCAAAGCTCAGTCTGGGAGGACGCCGAAGCGAGTAGCTCGGCAGGGAGACTCGCTTGGCTTTCGTGCCGTCCGTGGACGCAGTCGCGCGGGTAGGTGACCGGATTGGATTTCAAAGTCCTGCAGGAAATCCTGCCCTCTGGGTTGCACTTCCTGGTTGAGCCTCTGAAGTCTCAAGCAGCATTGTTTTAGTGCTTTGATGAAGCTCAGCACGCTACCGAAATCTCCATTATCCATTTGTATTATTTCTTCAGAAAACTCAACAATCTTTTTGTTGGAGGTGGGGAAATGAGAAGGTGATGTTTTGTTTTACTTTTTTTCCTATTTTTTTTTTAAAGGGGGAGTAGATGACAGTGTTCTCCTTAAGGAGGAAGTTTAACTTTTGAAACATACCACATGCTTAAAACACACTTGAGTTCCTGCATGAACAGTAAGCTAGCAGATGGTAGAAATATTCGTTATTAATTCAAAAAATATTTACTGCGGACCTACAATGTGCCAAGCATGTCTCCTGACTCTGGGGATAAGCAGTGAACAACAAAAAGACCAAGTTCTTCCACCCTGAGGCTTATATTCTAGGTGAGAAATGGGCAATAAACATAATAGGTAAGAAAATTACTTGGGATGTTAGTGATAAATGCTGTAGAGAAAAAGGGGGGGCCAGGAGCATCAAATGTGGAGATCAGAAGTGGTAGAGTCACAGTTTTAAATAAGAGGGACAGATAGACATGATTAAGGAGGTGAGGTTTGAGCAGAAGTTTGAGGGAGGCCAGGAAGCTAGTTTTGTGTGTGCCCAAGAAAGAGTATTCTAGGCAGAGACAGCAGCTGTTAAAAGGCTTAAAAGGGAGAATGTGCCTGGCATGTTCAATTACAGCAGACGTGTGTGGGTCTGGCACAGAAGGAACAAGGGGAAAAGAAGAAAGAAGTATTAATAGATCAAGTAAGAGAGTTAAGGAGAGCAGGGCAAATTCTGTAAGGCATTCAGAGCCATTTCACTCCAGAAAAAAATTGTGTAATGTTGAATACACGTGTTAAATGTTGAATCTATTGAATTACCTTGGAGCTTAAAATAAGTGTGCCAAGAAGAGGATTCCCATCTTTTAGTTGTTATTACTAAATCAAATAGCTATTTGATTTGAAGATCATTCCTCTTCAGTACTCTTAAGCGTGATTTAAACATGTCACCAAGCATATTTTTTCCGTGCAAGAGGATGTTAATTGGTGATTAGGTAGTCTAGCAAAATCAGTTTCTTTATGGAAAAAATTTGTCGATTGACATACTATTCTTAGGCACCACTTTCGTAGAACTATGCATCTAACTTTCAAAGGCCTATTATATACTGATATTCTTTTCAGATAAAATGTAAATCTACTTCCCTAAAATTAAACCATTTTATGCATGTCTCTTTTTTGAGACGGAGTCTCACTTTGTCGCCCAGGCTGGAGTGCAGTGGCATGATCTCGGCTTACTGCAAGCTCTGCCCCCTAGGTTCACGCCATTCTCCTGCCTCCCGAGTAGCTGGGACTACAGGCGCCCACCACCATGCCTGGCTAATTTTTTTGTATTTTTAGTAGAGATTGGTTTCACTGTGTTAGCCAGGACGGTCCCAATCCTCTGACCTCATGATACGCCCGCCTCGGCCTCCCAAAATGTGGGGATTACACGTGTGAGCCACCGCGCCCGGCATGTCTTTTTTTTCTTACACATGTATGTTTTTTTTTTGCCTACACCATTCTTTAATACTAGAAATGTACAGAAAGTCAAGGCAAGGTGTGTGTAGGAGACTTTGCAGTGGTTTTTGGCATACTGATCTGTTCATAGAAAATGGTATTTAAATGTACAAATGCATGATTGTGTCCATGGAAAGGGTGGCTCAATACTGCAAAGAAGCATCAAGTTTAAGACTTGGATAACCTGTTTAGCGTGCAAGAGTCAGGATATGTAATCAGATTGTTTATGGAATAGCTGAAGTTCTTGGCAAGCCGTGGACTTCCTAATCTCCCACCTAACATTCCTAGGTTCCTGAGGTGGAGCCTTGATTTAAAAGCATTGCAACCTAGCCACCCCACCCTAAATGAAGCCTATCGCATATAACACCACATTACTTGGAACAGGTTTGACTTGATTTAGTAAAACTGAATATACAAAAATGTGTACTAAAAGGTCAAGAGATATGGAAATAATGTTTCAGTTTGAGAAACATTTTTTTAACTTTATTGACTTTTTTATGAATAAGGAAGCTTTTTATTTTACAGGTCTTTGTGGGAAGAAACAAAGAAATCACAAAAGTAATTAAGAGAGCTCAAATAATGGGTAAGAGTACCTCAACAACTGAATTGAGCTAGCTGAAATTGTGCTTATTATGCTTTGTCAAGAACTTTAATTATCTCTTTACGGGGTTTATGCCAGTTACATACAAGGATCCTGCATATTTCAGGGACCCTAACGTTTATAACATCAGATATCGGGAATAAATTCTATCACATTGCCACTAATAAACTTTTTTTATAGTAAGTGCTTGTATGATGCCAATACTGACTCAAACCAACCTTTGGATAGAAAAGTGTTTCAGGAGTGACGTAAAGAATGACACTTCCCCTTCATATCAATCAAGGTTCATTAAGCAGATCGCTTATTTAAAATGTTATCACATTTTACATATGTTGAATAAAAGTGGTTCTGTATGACTGTCATTATATCTGGTCCCCAGATAGCTCATATAATGTAATACACCATTCAATTGAAGGGAGTTAAAACTGCTCAGAATGATTTTCTAACTAGCAAATGTAAGTATGCCTGGTTAAGAGATCCTCCCTTTGTAGAAATGTTACATTGGGATGTATAGTGGTGCTGTCAACAAGAGGACAAAATATTCCTAGACAAGTCTATCCTCAAACCAGTAGTGTCTTTTACATAAAAAGATGATTTATATCTAATAGACACTGAAGGTGATAAACATGTATGTATATATGTATCAGTTCTGAGTTCCACTGACCTGTCCCAAACACACTGGATTACCAGGCTTGTACTGTACTCAAACTTATGGATTTGCTAAATTTCGGGCAAAGGACTCTAAAGTAGGGGAGACATTACTGTTTGTGTTGGGTTATAGTTGCATAATAATTAAGGCTGCCAGATTTAGCAAGTACAAATGTAGGACAAATTTAAATTTTAGATCATGTTTTGCAAATTTATTGCGTGATATACGGCATTATATCTGGCAACTCTAGCCATAGCGTACTTCTAAAAAATTATCACTTAAGGAGAATTTTAATGACTCAGATAAATTTTCATATAAATTTCTTCCCACATTGTGAAAATGAGGCTATTCTTGCTTTTCTGATACTTTTCTTTTTTAATGAGATGGTTCTCACTGTGTTGCCCAGGCTGGTCTCTAAATCCTGACCTCAATCAGTCCTCCTGCCTTGTCTTCCCGAAGTGCTGGGATTATAGCTGTGAGCCACTGTGCCTGGCCTCACTTTTCCAATTCTAAAGAATGTGTCTGTGTAAGCCTTTCCCTCAACAACTTATTGAAAGGTGAAAAAAGGTTTGGAAATAAAAGCATCTGATGTTCGAAAAAGTACTTTGTAAAATAAATGCACTAAGACTTATCTGTGGATTACTGCAAACAGGTGAACATAGT